TTCCTTGATATTTCTTAAATCTCAGAGATTCAGCTAGAATAAATCTTAGGATGTTACCGCCACTGTACAAATGTAAAAAACTTGAGGTATAAGAGGTTACATTTTCACTAAAAAAAAAAAAAAAAAAAAATGTTTGTGGGTTGTTGTTGTCTTCAGTGAGTTATACCAGTCATCCTAGGAAAGAGAATTATAATTTAAAGGAATGACACTATTGTAAGTATTCATTATGTTATTTTCTTGTGGTTTTAATTCATACTTGTCTGAGCAGTTAGAAAAGGCTGAATCTAGATATTCTAACCAAATGAATAGGCATCTGTCCACACATACTCACACTCACACTTGATATATAAGTCCCAGAATTTAAATAAGTATTAACTTAATAATAATCTGAGGCTTTTGCAAAAAGTGTAATGGTGGCTGTCTTTATTTGTATTTCTAGAGCATTAGCTGCCTTATATTTTTGGGGGGGTTTGTTTTTAAGCTAAGTGAGTACAAAAGTCAAAGATAAATATTCAGTTACATTTAACAAATGTAGAAACTAAAAGCTTCGGAGTAAGACTTGTTAATACAAGAGTAGACTACATTCAGTATTAGGGACATTTGGATATTGAGATAAAAATGGGGGGGAAAAGTTCCTATGGTCCCTGAGTAAGAGAGCTTACCACTGAAGTTTTCTTCACTTTTAAATACAGAATAAAACTCTATAAAAGATACTTTCAGAAATATGTCAGTTAAATTTTGCTCTCACTATACTTTAGCTCCAGACTTGATTTTAATACACCGTCATTGGGGTGATCATTGCCTATGACAGGGCAAGTCATATAGTAGGTACTCAATAAATATACCACAGAGCAAAGTCATCTAAAGAATCTGCCTATTCAGATTTTCCTTGTGCATAGAATGATTCAAAAGTATTTTGGAATCCCTACAGAATCTATCAGTTTGAGTCTGTGGAACAGTACCAAAATGAACCAGAAGTACGGAGTTCTTTTTATAGATGAAAAAAAGTTAAAATATGCATTTCTTATGAAGTATCATAGTTGGGATATGAATGACCTTCAATGAGTTGACTCACTAAAAAATACTGAGGAACATATTTAGTAGTTCACATGATTTCTGTATTTAGCAATCTAAATAGGTGTCAGACATCTTGAAATATTTACATGGCAAATCTCTCAAAACTAAAGTTAAACAGCTCTGTAAACCCCTCACATAGGGGAAAGAGTTAAAATTTTACTAGACATAGTCTCTTGTTTTTAGCCTGCAAATGTAGTAGTTTCTAAAAGCAATGAAGATTCCTATGAATATCACTTTCATGCCTCCAGAGAGTTCTTACTCCTCTGTCAGCTTCCTTGGATGCTCACCCCTCAGAAGCTATTGAATTTTGTAAAAAGTCTAGGATTCAGGGAAAGCCTTAGATGTCCAAACCAAACATGAGTTTCTCTAAGTGTCACTTACAAGAATATGCACACAATCCGCCCTCAGCCACCAAAAAAAAAGGAGTACTGATTTTACTTAGAAAAGATTTTTTATTTAATGCAGTGAATGTATAGTCAACATTACCATTGAACTAAACATCTGAAATTTCATAGAATGAAACAAAACTTAGTCATCCGTTAATGGTTACTATCCACTAGGTACATCGGGGGTCATAAAATATCAGGCTTGTAGACATTTGAGCAGACACTGTCAGCATGAAATGTAAACCTCACACAAGATATAATCAAAGGTAATTTCAAACAAATTATCCTATCAACAAACTTTCTGTAGTAACATCAACTTCATGGAGTATTGTCTTAGCAACATATAGTGATGGTGTGCGAATATAAGCATGTCGTTACAAACATGATGCACTAAATGGAGCTTATTGAGGTCAAAGCCTTTCTATAGAAAGGGATTTAATTGACAATCTTTCAACCATAGTGTATAAACAGATCAAAATAGTTCTATCATAAGAAATAGTATTTAACAACATAGCTTTAAAATAAAAATACTTTAAAAAATCAGCTCTGATGAGATTAAATTTATTGTTAAAGAATTTAGAGAGATATGTTTCTTGCTTCGGCCTTTTCTACGGTTTTCCAACACAACCCCCATCTTCACCCTATCTCAGTCTATTATTAATAAAGTAGTGCAAAACATTCTGTAGCAATTTTAGGCAAGCTTAATCCCCTACCAAGTCGGGGGGGAGTAAGACATACTCACCAAATTATTTCTCTTTCCAGAGGTACACTCACTTGAAGTTAAATAGAAAAACTACCACAAGAGTCTTGGGAATGCAATTTTTAAATATAGATTCTATAGTAAGTAGTGAAATCTTTTTAAAGCAAACTCCCCCTCCCCATACAGTTTTTTTTACAAAATAGGTTTTCATGCATTCATATTTTCAAGAATGATTATTTTTTCTATAAATGAATGTAATGAAACATTGGCATATCACTTAGCACACTGCATTCTCCTCTACATTACAATTCACACTAATAACAAAAATCATAGTATGCATTAAAGATTTCAGTAATCTAATGAGAAAGCACATAACTTTTTTTCTGTGAGAACATGTGAGTATTAAATATTTTTAGATACACAGGGGTATAATCTGACACCAAAAGCAATATGAATTTAGTTTGCTAGTATGTTTACTGAAATTTTGCTAATTTTCTAACTTGATAGAAATTAAAGTAGTGATAGGTATAAAAATTCAGATAGGCATTCATTTATAAACCTGGCAGTATTTATGTGTAATCCTGTAGAGATTTTAAGGTTTTAGATGGAATGATAGAAGGAAAGTTTTCTTTGTAGGATTTCAGAGTATAGAAGATTCTTTTGAGGGGTGAATATACCTTCACTCATTAGCTTAAAGTCAGCCTAGTCATATCTAAATACTTTGCTCAGGAATAAATGTCAGGATCTGAAATCAGAATTTATGTGAAATTGAAATGCATCTGTTCCATTATTCACGTCTTGGGACTCCCTCCTCCCTTTCAAAAAGTGTAAAACATAGAAAACTGTACTGTACTTTTCAGATAAAAAATCGTCACATGAAAAAAACTTTAACATGTATATAGATTTCATCAGGCAAAACAAAGCATATAATCTAATCTGGTTCTTCCACTTGTAATTAGAGAAGTGTGTGTCTCCCACTGTTACCATTCTTACATTTGTTGTTCCAGTGTGCTATATTATTAGCCACCACTAACGGCTTTCATACAGCAGTAAGTAAACTTTTTATCAAATTGATTCTGTACAATGGAAGTATATTTTCAAAGACATATGCCCTTATACACTATTTACAAATTCTCACGATCATTTTTTAAGAGGTAAAATAAATAAAAAGCAGAAAGAAAGGAAATGCTGCTGAGGCTGGAAGGCTTTTTTATCTTCCCGAGCAGATGCTGGTCTTCTCAGTGCTGGGAGCTAGCTAGCCAAGATTGTTTTTCTTCCTTTTACATGGGCTGTGAGAGGGATCTGGTTTCAATTCTTGGTATTGCACCTGTTTAAACAGAGTTCAGAGAAAGACTGGTCAGGTGGCCACTTTCTGGCAGAGGAAGGAAAGACTGCTTGGAGGAAAAAAGTGCTCACTCTGGAAGCTGTATGAGATCTGCAGCTGGGATACAGAAAACAATAGAGTGATAGAGCAGGAGTCTGAGGGAAGTCCTGCCAGGAGCTGCATGAGAGCCCTGGTGTGACCTCTGGTAACAGACTTGGGTTTTCACTGTCCATAAGACATAACAGTAAAAGCAAAACCATCTCATCTATTCTGAAGGGATGGATAATGGTTCTTTACAGATTACTGTTTAATATCTTTACAGATTACTGTTTAATATAGGTTTAATATCCAGCTCACTCTCATGTCTGATACTAAATAAAAAACTCAACTGGAACAAAGGAAAAAGGTATCACTGTAACCCAGTTTCAAGACTTTGTTAAAAACATTTCTCATTTTACTTTGATTAATGGGTATTGATTAACCTGAAAGGATTTTAAAGAATTGAGATATGCTCCAGTCTTCAAAAAGCCTTCTCCCCTACTCACTGACTTCAAATATGCATCTTTAAAATTCATTCAATTTGTGCGATTGTGCACAGAGGTGTTTTTCTCCAAATGTCCACTGGCACACTTTGCTTTCATCATCTAATATTCCTGTTTCCTCCCTTCAGGTCATGGGGACTTCCCTTCACAGTCTCCAGCTGAACCTTCCTAGTCCCTGACGGCTCTGGTAGGTTCTTGATGCAACCCCTCTCATTCCCCATTCTTCTCTATGAGTTCTGCTAGGTTAGCACCCCAAGTAGGCTAAATTTCTCAACAGCACGATCAACTATAGGCTTTATTAACTTTACCTGTCTCTTTGAAACCTTTGAAATTAAAAGAATATAAAAGTAAAAACTAATGCTACCCGACATTAAAATAGTAGTAATAATGAAATCTACATACCACTTGTACATCTGAAGGTACTCTAGAAAGGAAGTCAAGCAGTTCATTGTTGTCAATTGCATAGGGACACCGAAGCTTTTTTGTAAATTTATTGATGCCTGAAAAAGTGATAGATTATTGAAATCTCCAAAGTTTGTTGTAGAAAACACATTTCTGGCAAATGTATTAAAGTGATTCGAAGATCTAGATTAAGCTGCCATTTAACCTTGAATGAACCAATAAATCCTACTGGCTTTCTTCCTTCCCTGTACCCTTCCTCTCTCCTTCCCAACCCAATGGATGCTGTTTTTCTCTTTGTATTTTAGTGGCTTCCTTTGCATTTGGGAAACAAAAGCCACCTGGCAAGAATAGTCAATGACCTTATTTGCTTCTCCCCTCAGTGTTACTGTACGTAGCAGCTTTGCTTTAGTGTCCCATCTATGAAATTGTCTTCCTGCATTTTTGGTTGGGATTGTTTTTAAGGCAAGAAGTCTCATTTATTGATTTTCTCTTTTTCAAAAGATAAAGTGTGTGAGTGGGGGGCGAGGGGGGGGAGGAGGTGTCACTGTTATGCAGGCTAAATGTGTAAAAGACCTTGATTTTATTTCAAAGTTACACTAAATGAGAAAGGATTTATCACCAGCTTTGAAGGTGGCGGTATAAAAGGATCCTGAACTCCCATGAACACACCAGATCTACAGTTGCTTATGGAAAAACTTTCTCTGAAAACTGGCTGAGTGAATACTACACATTGGATGAACAAGAAAAGGCCCACATGGAAACAGGTAGGAGTGTCTGCGGCACAATGTCACAATAAACCCCACCCCCCGGTGCAGCACCTACAGTCTGGAGGGAACTCCAATCCAGAGCCTCTCCCTGAGGAGCATAGGATCTGAACCCCATATCAGGCATCTCCACTTTTTAAAGACTTATACATGAGAGAGAAGCCCCCAAACTACCTAACTTTATTTTCCTTCCAATTTTATTGAGAAGTAATTGACATACTTGACTATATAGGGTTAAGGTGTATAGCATATGAAATGATTATCACAGTAGGCTTACTTAACATCTATCATAGGGCTACAAAGTAAAGAAAGGAAAAATATTTCTTGCTATGAGAACTCTTAGGATCTGTTCTCTTAACAACTTTCCTTTATATAATACAGCAGTGTTACTATATATAGGAAATATGTATAGCATAATACTCCCTAGGTCCATTCATGTTGACTCAAACGGCAAGATTACATTTCTGTTTATGGCTGATTAATATTCCATTATATAGATATGTACCAATAATTTGACTACTGATGGACCCCTAGGTTGCTTTCATGTCTTGACTATTATAAATAATGCTAAAATGAACAGAGGGAGAATATATATATATATTCAAATTAGTGTTTTGGATTTCTTTAGATAAATACCCAGAAGTGGAATAGCTGGATTATATGGTAGCTCTAATTTAATTTTTTGGAGAACCTCCATATTGTTTTCTGTAGTGCCTATACCAATTTACAGTCTCACCAATAGTGCACACGAGTTCCATTTTCTCCACACCCACACCAGCATTTGTTATTTCTTGTCCTGTTGATAATAGCCATTATTACTGGTGTAAGGTGATATCTCATTGAGGTGTTTTTTTTGTGTGTTTTTAATCTTCACTGAAGGATGTTTTTATTGATTTTGAGAGAGAGACAGAGAGAAACATTGATGGGTTGCTTTTGGTATGTGCCTGGACTGGGAGAACACCCACAATTTTTGGTATATGGGATGACTCTCCAACCGAGCCATTTGTATATCTTCTTTGAGCTAGGACCTGAATAGAAATTTTTCCAAAGAAGACATACAGATGGCCAACAGGAATCTGATCAGGGAAATACAAATCAAAACCAAAATGACACACCTGTTAAAAAAAAAGTAAGTGTTGGCAAGGGTGTGGAGAAAAGGGAATCATTGTACACTCTTGGTGCAACCACTACAGAAAACAGTATGAAGGTTCCTCAAAAAATTAAAAATAGAACTACAGTATCAACAGGCAATTCCACTTCTGAGTATTTAATTGAATAAAATAAACACTAACTCAAAAATATATATGCACTGCATGTTCATTTAGCCTTATTTGCAATAGCCAAAATAATGGAAACAACCAAAGTGTCAATCAATGGATGAATGGATAAAGAAAATGTGATATATAATGGAATGTTATTCTGCCATTAAAATAGAACTAAATCTTGCCATTTCCAACTATATGGATGGACCTTGAGGGCATTACATTAAGTGAAATAAGTCAGAGAAAAACATACTGTATGATTTCACACATGGAATCTAAAACAAAAATGAGCTCATAGATTCAGAGAACAGATTGGTGGTTACTAGAAGAGGGAATTGGATGATGGGCTAAAGGGGTCATAAGGTACAAAATTCCAGTTATAAATAAGTCATGGGGATTTGATGAATAGCATGGTGACTATTGTTAATAATACTGTAATTGCATTTTTGAAAGTTGCTAAAAGTACATTTTAAAAGTTTCCATCACAAGAAAAAAATGTTTCTATCTCTGGCATTGGGATTTTTAGAAACCAGTTTTTCTTTTAAATTACAAGAAGTGTACATTAAATTCTTGCAAAAGATGCTGCCATGATTAACTAACTTGGATCACAACAGCCAAGAATCATTAGAGACAAACATCTACCCATGCTAAATTACTCAATAGTTAATCCTCTGTACTACCTGAAGAGTCAGTGTGGATAAAGGGTCAATGCAGGTGAAATGTCAAAATAATGTATAAAACTTAGAAGTATCTATCCTACATATTCTGTGTGATAATGTAGAATTTCAATACAACAAGTCTGTTTTTAAATTTGTGTTGCACTTAAATTACCAAACATGCACATAGAAATACATAAGCAACTTGATATGAAAGCAGTGGTCTGCTGAGACCTGGGCCATAAGCTAGAGCATTGTGGCTCTTCTTTAGGGTATGCAGCAGAATGATTTTCTTCTCTTCCTGTGTCCCCATGTGAGGCCCCTCTGAAACTTCTGGTTAGTACTTCAGCAATCACCTACCACTAAAGGGAATACTGTTCTTGTTTCATTTCAGTGAATGAAACAAGAGGCCCAAACACATTCTCTAAAAATCACATTTAAGACAGCCAGTGGCTCCCAAGTTACAGAGCCAGATGTCTGCCATGGTCTCCAGGTTCCAAGAACCTGGGCAAACGAAACCAGAGGTTCACCACCTATCACAACCTAGATGGCAGGAGTGGCTCTCAGTTGGTTAGAGGTAATAAACTGCCAAATGCTCTACTCTAATTCCTTCACGATAAGAGCATCTGTTTTAAATATCAGAGAAAGGAATGCAAGATGAGGGCTGGAGCATACACTAGGGCAGTGGTTGGCAAACTGCGGCTCAGCAAACGGCAGCTCGCGAGCCACATGCGGCTCTTTGGCCCCTTGAGTGTGGCTCTTCCACAAAATACTGACTTCTGTGCATGGGCCACGAAGTTTCAATCGCACTGTACGTGTGCGCCCGCACGTGGTATTTTGTGGAAGAGAGCCAGCCGTGGTTTGCCGATCACGGCACTAGGGAAAAAGAACATGGTGGGAAAAGCCTCTTCCCTAGCATAGTGGAAGTACTGTATTAGGTGAAACTGTTTCTTTAAACTATAGAAATTAAGAAAAGAACAAATAGTCACTATTCCCACTACCCTACTCCCTACCCAAGATACGGAGGTAAGGTTATGGTAAGTGGTAAGAGGGTGTATTCATGATAGGAAAAGAGGCCAAAAACATTAGGGAGAAAGGAATCCTAAAACTGGAGGGCTTAGAGACATCTGACCCCTTCTCCCTTTATTCCAGTATAGTGCGTTAAAGCCTTAAAAAGAAAAGAACAAAACATTCTCTTTGGTCTTTTTGTTGTATGAGCACATGTTGTCTGGAGTTAAGGCCCATTTCAGTTCTTTGCATTTTGTATAGGTTTAGTAAGCTTAGGTGTGTGGAGACCAGGGGCAAGTAGAGAATTCTACTTCTACCCAGTCTTGTGTGTGTGCATATGTATATGTATATATATATGTATGTATGTATATAATTAATGTCATAGTTTTATATGTTAGTCAGTCTTGGAGATTAAGAATTGAATTTTCCAAACCAAGAGTTTTGTCAGATATGGGGTGGGGGGGAGGAACCTCAAAACTATCAAGAATGCTGAAACTTGGTACATGAGAACTGTTGGCATGCGGCATAACTGCATTAAAAATTAGGACCCGAAACTATTTTTAAAGGGGGTTTTTGCAGAAGCATTCTTATTTAGTACACATAAAGCAGGTTTCTTGTTCCTAAGCAGCCTGTCAATGACAGGGACCCTTTTCTGTATCCTACAGGTGACCATATATAGTACCATATTTACAGACACTTCCACAAGACAGAGCACCGTAGCACAAAAGCATATTGTCCTGAACGCACCATATGGCTCGAAATGCCTCTGTTTACGTATAAGTGCTGAAAATAAATCAGAGTGATATCTAGACCGAGCTACTCTTTGATATATGAAGAATCTGCACAGCAACCTGTTTATAGTATGATGGAGCCTATGGTGCCAGATAAGAAAAATGCATTTTGCAGGTAGACTTAAATCGTTATACTGTTGTGATTTTTAACCGACCTGTCTCTTTTCATCATGGAGTAGCTTCATGACCATAAATATGCGGAACTACTGACAGTATAATTCATCCCTTAAAAATAGTTTGTTCTTAGCAGCTAAGACAGTAAAAAAAAAAAAAAAAAAAAGGCTTTACTTACCCCAGATAAGGACAATGTATCTCAGTGGAATGAAGTACAGCACAACTGTGAACACACAGAGGGCCACGATGGCCAGCCAGCTTAGGAATGGGACCGTCCAGTTGAAAGTACTGAATGAAAGGTTAACATTAGCAATCTAGCATTTCTTATCAGGAAGGGATTAGGCCTCAAAAGATATTTAAAGGAATAAGAAATTGTACATGATGTGGATAAATGTTAGTGTTTTTGTTCTAATTTCCTGGTAGTGTGGGTTATATTCACTTGGAATGGGGTTTGTCCTGGGCAGTTTTTGATCTCATAAAGGATGATTATTAAGAGATTTTCTTCCAGTACTGTGTCTCAGCATAACTTAAGAGTTATTCCTTAGTTTTGTAGCATATAGCTTGCTTATTGTATCCTGAGGTCAAATGTTTAATATAAAAAAAAATTGTTTTTTTAGTAAAAGAACCAAAGTTGCATCAATCTGATTGTCTTGTTTTCAATTACTTTTAGGGTCTGGCTTTTTGGACTTTGTCATTTTATTCCCATGGCTAGAGTGAGCAACTTGTAACTTGCCAGGTAAAGAATCATGTCTTCCCTCCCTTACACCTGTGCTTCCCTTGCTTCTGCTGCTTGTGGAGAGAACAGAAGGCTGAGGGTCTGCCTGCTCTCCTGGGGCTCAGCTCAGAGCCATCCATCACACTGTTCCTTATGCAAGGGCACTGGCTCTTCCCTCAGAAAACCCGTCTTCTGGGCAGCTTCACTGAAGGGCTCCCTGTGTTCTTTCTTTCTCCTCTTGGAAGAGTAAGAATCCTTACCAGTGTAGCTAATGTCAGGGGAAACAAGATTGTCCTTTTCCCACAATGCATTATGGAATCTAAATCTAGAATATGATCCCTATTCAAGAAAGTTCTGGAATGAATAACAAAATGCAATTATAGAGACTTTTCACTTTGTCCTTAAAGATTGCTTCTGAAGCTGCTTTCTGAATAGATGCATTATATTCCATGTGACTATAGGGGAATTTCTCTTTTTAATATTCAAAAGATTGTGCAGAGAAGATGGCTACACCTCAGCCTATACTTATACCTGTATCACTACTGTACCTATGGAAGTTCTACAAAACCCTGTGTACCACAAGGCTGGTCCACAGCCAAGATCTGGTCCTATACTCCAACTGGCCCTCATGTTTTCCAGCCAGCACCTGTTCTGAGGTCTCTTAGCATCCAGAGAGATAAAGAACCATTTTCCCTCAGGCATTCACTAGCCTGGCCTGAGAGCTGACCCAGGGTTTTCTGGTATCAATGAGATGCTGTCATCAGGTATTAACACCCAGTGTACCTCAGAAAGGACAACACTCACTCAGTAGGGAAAGCCCCCATTTAGGACTTCACCCTGTGCTTCATGGACAGGGTGTGGAGAACAGGGGAACGTTCTTAGAGATGGAGAAAAAAACATTGAGAGGAAGAAGGGAAAAGAAAGACGTGGGAATCAATTTTCAGAAGTCTAAGACTGATCGCTGCTTCGAGGCACATTTGGGAGAGGGAGGCTGTTCTGTCTAATGTGATATGAGAATGTGGAAACTCAGCATCTATGCATGTGTGGAAATGTATTAAACAAAAAAATACATGAAATAAGACTCATTATCCCTTGAAACATTAAAGGCACTAAATGAATGACTCAAAGGCACTAAATGAATGACTCAAAACTTTAGTTTAAATAACTTACTCCTCTTCAACTTACGCCCAAAGAGTCAAATCTGAACACTTTGGGTTATGAACAGTAAACAATGAGAGGATATATGGAAACTAGGAAAATGTGGGCTTAACTGGATATACAGCACCCCTTCTTGAGTGGGCCAATTTTTATATAGTTCAGTAGTAGTATGAGGCCTTAGTATATTTTTACTGATAATCAATTATAAATCACCTATTGTTTTTATAATTAAACAGTTGTTTTAAAAAGTAGATTAGTAAAAAAGTATTTCAAGTAAAACACAAGTAATATAAAATTAAGAATGTTTCTTAACTTTACATTAGATATTTTCTTATTCAAAAAAATAAAGGTGATTTTAAAAAATCCACAGAATTAAAAAATTTCTAATGGCCGAGCATTAGTTTATTTCATGTATAATATATTAGCTATATAAATACACAAATTTAAAAGTATATTTTGGTAGGGTGCTATATATAATATCACTTTCAAAAAATTTTAGATTAATTTGAAAATATACCTCAGCCAACAATAAAATGTGTGTCTTCCTTACCCAAAATCCTCATTTTGCTTAGTTTATTTTTTTTTATCATGAGTTGATATTCTGTTTAAGAACAAAGCCTTTCACTGTGAAATTGTGCTAAAATTTAGAATGGTGTTATTTCTCCAAAGCTACAAAGCTACAAGTATAATTTCTTTCCAACCAATATGTTCTAAATTTCAGGAAGGAAATTGACAGAACTTTCATAAAACCAAAGACTGACAGAAACAAAGTAAATAATGATGAAACTGAGCAATAGATCATCCAGAAGGAGTGTCCCCTGCCAAAACGAATTAGCATTTCACCCTGAGAAACAAATGGACACTCTGTCTCCACAGAAGGCCAGGCCCACGTGTCAGCATCACTTACTTCTTTATCCTTTCGCCTAAGGAAGCCGCTTCATCTAGGATGTTCTGGACACTGATGCATACCTCCTGGATGGCATAGATTTTATTTATAAACCCCTTCTTTTCACTGTCCTAAAACATAATAAAAAGAGAGGTTCTGTATGAGTAATGGTATTCTTCAGTGCTTGAATTCTTTGCATTGTCCCTGTCTTAACATTTTTAAACTTAAACTCTATGTCTTCTTACATACAAGGACCCCTTGAGAATCCAGGATATAAAGGGAGGGGAAGGAGGAAGAGTAGCCACTATTGTGGAGCTGTGCTAGTATAAAAGGTAGCTGCAAAGCAGGGCACTCAGACTCTGTTGCTGGTGCCCTGATGAACAGAAAAATGTCAGCCAGGGGGAAAGAAAGTATAAAGGTTTAAGAGATAGGTCATGTCTCAGAATGACCACAACCAGGATCTGTGCTGACCCTGGACCCGCCATGACTCACTACTTAGACCTTGTGTTTTGACCCCACCACCCACACACCTGAGTTTGGTTTTAGCTTCAGATATTTCATCAGCAGAGACTGCTGGGTACAAATTAGAGGACCTGTCAGGAATGAAAACTGCAAACAAAAATGATAAGGTTGCCCAGTCAGTGTGGCTTAGTGGATGAGCTTCGACCTTTGAACCAGGAGGTCATGGTTGATTCCCAGTCAGGGCACATACCCAGGTGCAGGCTCGATCCCCACTGTGGGAAGTCCAGGAGGCAGCCAACCAATAATTCTCTCTCATCATTGATGATTCTCTCTCTCCCTCCCCTTCTTTGAAATAATAAATATATCCCCCCCACACACACTCATGCCCTCACCCACCCCCTCAGTGTCTGTGTCCATTGGTTAGGCTTATATGCATGCATACAAGTCCTTTAGTTGATCTCTCCCCCTTCCCCCCTCCCTCCCCTGCCTTCCCTCTGAGGTTTGATCGATGCTTCTCTGTCTCTGGAACTGTTTTTGTTCATCAGTTTATGTTGTTCATTATATTTTACAAATGAGTGAAATCATGTGATATTTATTTTTCTCTGACTGGCTTATTTTGCTTAGCAAAATGCTCTCCAGTTCCATCCATGCTGTTGCAAATGGTAAGAATTCCTTCTTTTTTACTGAAGCATAGTATTCCATTGTGTAGATGTACCACCGTTTTTTAATCCACTCATCTTCTGATGGGCACTTAGGCTGTTTTCAAATCTTAGCTATTGTAAATTATGCTGCTATGAACATAGGGGTGCATATATCCTTTCTGATTGGTTAAATGACAAGGTCAATTAAAATCCACTAAGTGGACACTTTCTAGGATAGTACCGAAGACAGATGAGATATACAATAAGCCTGGCCCCCTCTGAAAAATAATAGCCACAGATGTCATACAGTAGCTTATGGCTATATTAGGGTTCTAACTAAACTTTTTTCTCCTCTTTGTACTTAGTTCTTCATTTTAAAACTTACGCTGGATTTAAGCAAACTGGTGTGTTCCAGGGAACGGGTGGATGGGGATTGAGCAGAAAGCACCCAGAGAATGGTGTGAGCCTGGGGGAGGTGTGTACATTTTGTAATTTTAGACCCAGAGGAAGAAATACTGGTGGCCTTTCACGATTGAAAATTCTGCTTAGTAGCCTGGCATCACAGGCACTCGCCTGGGCTGTTTGGTGGAGACCATCCAACCCTGATTCCATGACTCCATTCCTCCATGCCAGCTTGAATAGCTCTGAAAATGTAGCTCCAATTTCATTCCTTTAACTTCTTTCGAACGCTTGCACACTGTGCCAGAACACTTGAGACCTCATGTGGCAGGCAGTGCTTGCTGAAAGCCGCCAGGAAGCTAGAATAATAATGTCGTCATGTTGCACATTTACATACTGACTTTCATTTCAGAGGAGTCTCTGAAGCACTTTGCACTGTGAACACTTGGCTGAGGCTGGCATCCTGCCACCTTCAAAGCCAAGGGCAAGTGAATGACAGGTGTGTATGCAGCCTCCAGGGACAACAGGGTCCAGTGGGACTGAGGACATGGGGACCAGTTTTATAACATGATCTTTAGATACTGGTTACTTAGAGCCTTTGTTTTTAATTTAATTCCCATGGGAGATATTGCCTACATTATTCATCTTGCTTATGCCACAATGGACTGTCAGACAATGAGGTAGATGAGGTGCATTAGGCTCAAAGTATAAGGAAAAATTAGGTCCTCTCAGAGTCCCCACTATCTTCAATTCGTCTTTTACTTGTCATTACAGACATGGGTGAATCAAATTCTTGTCTTTTTTCCCTCCTCAGTAATAAAAATAAATGTGTAATTGCACCTACGCAATTTTACACTTTAGAATAAAATGGATAACCAGTGGCTCCTTTTAGTTCCTTTCATAATTACAAAGTTAATCTGCTGTAATCATCTTCATGGCCTTCAGTGTCCTCTCTCAAGTACGGAGTTCATTTATGTCTATGAAGTAAAGTACTCTTATAAATACTTTTCTACATACAGAATAAATCAAGCTGAAATTGAAGCATGTTGGTTATACAGCGAAAGCTCATTGAGAAAAATGTCTTACCTATTTGAAATTATGACTTGAAAAATATTTCCTTCATAATAGCAGTAAAATCTCCTATATAATAAAAGGGTAATATGCAAATTGACCCTAACAGCAGAATGACTGGTCACTGACACACACTGACCACCAGGGGGCAGATGCTCAATGCAGGAGCTGCCTCCTGGTGGTCAGTGTGCTCCCACAGGGGGAGCTCTGCTCAGCCACAAGCCAGGCTGATGGCTGCCAGCACAGCGGTGGTGGCGGGAGCCTCTCCTGCCTCCTCAGCAGCGCTAAGGATGTCCGACTGCAGCTTAGGCCTGCTCCCCGCTGGCAAGTGGACATCCCCCGAGGGCTCCTGGGCTGCTGGAGGGATGTCTGACTACCAGTTTAGGCCCAATCCCCCAGGGAACAGGCCTAAGCCAGCAGGTGGACATCCCCTGAGGGGTCCCAGACTGTGAGAGGTCACAGGCCGGGCTGAGGGCCCCCCCCCATGCACAAATTTTTGTGCACCGGGCCTCTAGTATATAAAATATTTAGGCATAACCTTAACAAGACATGTGCAGAATCTATATAAAGAAAAATAGAAGTACTGTGTTTCTGCATCGAGACACTGAATATTAAAAGGATGTATTATTTTTTTCAGTTGAACGTACAGGTTTAATGCAATTTTAAGCAAATCCCAATGTGTCTGGAGTGGAGTGAAATAGTGTACTCAAAATCTGTTTAGAAGAATAAATGAGGATAACCAAGAAATTTTGAAAAAGAGAAATAATGAGAAGGCATTTATTGTGCTATATCTTTAAGTATTTAAAGTATGAAAGATGAGCACTGAAGGAGAGATTGGTGTATGATTAAAGCACAACAAATCCATCATAAAGAATGAAGTATTATGTTATTGGTAATTGTGTTAACTATTTGGGGAAAATTATGTTGATTCCTACCTTAATAGAGCCTCAAATCTATTTGAGATAGCCCAAAATCTACCTTAGCATCTATCTAAAATAGATAGCCCAATGTATTCTAGATTAATTAAAAAGTGAAACACTAAGTGACTTATAAAAACAGAAGAAACTATAGGTAAATTATTTACTGACCTAGGGATGAGAAAGAACTCTCTAAGCATATAAGCGGTAAAGGAAATCACCAAGGAAAATAACGGACAGCAAAAGTTTCATAAAATTAAAAACATTATGCCAAAAGTCATAAATTTAAAAGGCTAAGTGGGGGGAAAAATTAGCAACAAATATGACATCAAGGAATGGGATTTCCACTATATTCAATTAACACCTGAAAAAATACTGCAGTTTTGTTTATAATAACAAAGTAAAAATCACTAACATGATACATACAACTGATAGACTAATATGAAATTGCAAAATATTGTTTAAAGAGAATATTTAAGGAAAACAAAAATCCTTATGAATAAGATGTGTTATTTAAGGCATCTCAAAGATTATATTTCATATACACTTTAAAATCTAAAGTGCTGATGTATAATTATTGGCTAAAGAGTTTTTAAAATCTGTTCATTCTTGTTTCTTCTGCACTTTCACCCCACTCCCTAGATCCCTAGATCTTCACCCCTGCCCCCCAAACCCAAAATAAGATCGTTGTATTGTTGGCAGAGTTTTGAAAAGCAAATGCTTTGGGATAAAATTTTTATTTTAAAATCTTCCATCAAATTCTGTATTCCTCCACTGTGGTCTCCAACCAATGAAGTAATTACTCTTTATATACGGTATATGACCCAAAACTGCAACGGGTAATAGAATTGCTCTGTGTTGCATTCCAATATTTCATACTTTTTTCACTAATGTTCAATACTTTATTAGTATAGAATAAATTGGTACATTTCTTTTATTGTCGTTTTTGCTTTCCTTTATAAACCAGCTTGGATGAAAGAAATATCATAGGGTAGTTAATCATCCAGAGGCCTGGTAGTCTCACTGGTTTATAAAAAAAAAAAAAGCATTATTAAGGTTTCTTTTTGAAGATGTAAAAAAAAATTACCCATAAAAAAGAGCTATAACTATAAATCTGAGAACATGTGAGATTTATATTGTACAACTTTTCTAATGATTCTATATAATTTTTAAAATCTTATTATATTTAAATAGTCTATAAAACATCAATAACTGCAACATGAAATACAATGATTCTTTAATAGTCACCTACTTTACTATCACATATCACAACAGATAGTTACTATATTTTTCCAAAGAAGTATCTTCTTCCTGGCTTTGCGATATTTAGGAAAATCTAAAGAGCTAAAGGATCTATAGGAGAGTTTTACATATTTGGAGAATCCTGTTAATTGATTTCAAACCAAATGACAAGTGCCTCCATTCACTGATTCTGTTCCAAATGGGAACAAGAAGCCAACAATATAGGTGTTGAGATATGTATTGAGGGTGTGGGCTCCTCATGCATCCTACAATGGTAATTAATGCTACGTAGGGCC